CTGACACCTCATCTGCAGTCATAAATGATGACACAAATGGAAACCTGAGCGGAGGATACCTACAGAAATATTTCAATGGCGCTGGCCTCCTTGCTCAAGGTGCTAGTTATTGTTTATTAATCTGCTGAGAAGTGGATAACTTGGGGGGATCACATGTTTTACACTGGGAACGGAGGAGGGATAAGTCGTCGCCAACACTGAGTTTGAAGAGGGGACTATAGGGAATTGCCAGTAAATTAATTGCCAATCAGGGGGGAGGGGTGGGCTAGATTAATGTTATCGCGACACAATCCAAATCCTCCGTTATCCTCAGGCGGAAATAATTACCGGTCGATAAGTATCTTCAGTTAATGTCTGAAGATGAACGAAATCACTGACTTCTACAAAGGATCTGCAGAGTTGTGCGTTTTAACAATCACAGAGATACATTTGAACGCTTCTTTTCTTGTTAACCAATTGCAAATAAATTGTCTTAAACTCATACACGTAGTGACAGAACTTTTTTTGTCGTTGTTGTTGTTTTTGCTTCTTTTGCACTGTTCTGCCTGACAACGTAGTAATAACCATATCCTTCTGGCGGTTGATTTGCCTCAGAATTAGAACTCCTCCTTGTACTGTGGGCCACCATTCAAACCGAAATATATTAAAAGTCATTTTCTTTCACAATCGAAAAACAAACTAGTTTCTGAGGATAGGAGATAAATACAGGAAGATATGAAATTGCAATAATACGGTGATAAGTATTGTTTTGTGAAATTGAAAGAAAAATGAACAGCTTCAAAAAGTCTAAGATCTAAAGCGTTTAAAACTCACGAAGTAAGGTAGTTCATAACATGGCTTCGGGTTGAAGTCTATCTTTTGCGTCTAAACATCTTTTTATTAGGTTGCTAAAATCAAAACACGTCTCAAGTCCTTGGCTTTGAATTGTAGTCAATGATAACATTGTGTTAAACTGATCCTCTCTCACTCTTGTCTGTAGTACTTACTATATCATGGCCCATGAGATGCACTTAGGACGTATTTGTAGGGATTGACCCTCCTCTCAGTTCTGGAGCTATAGACATCTGCTAACTGCACTTAAAATAATGTGGATCCCTCATTTCTACTCAGATGTTGCTCAAGTTTTGTTATCTTTATAATTGTCCGCCACCACGCGCTATTGTTTTGTTGTGGAAGCTAAATCTTCATCTAGTCCAAACACACTTGACGCACTGAGATGGAGGTCACTTGGAAAATCGAGTGAAAGTTAGCTAACAGCAGGGGCATTTTGTGATTGACTGTTATAAATAAAACAAAGTAACCACAAGGAGCCCATGAGATCTCAAAGTAAATATATGTTTTAGCGATCTTATACTCACTTAAGGGTGAAAACAGGTTGCAGTTAGCTTTATTGCTTTGTATCTGAATGGCTGGGGGAATGGTGCGAGGTTTATGGACCAATCACATAGTGAAGTGAGGCAACACTAACGCAGATTGTAGAGATAACGCACGTGGTGGCGGGCAATTATGAAGATAACTCAGATTACTCTAGCTGCTCAAATGAATACCACTCTGTATTCAACACATTGAGGTTTGAGTTATCTCTAGGACGATGAGCAAAATCTTCACCGAAGATTCAAACGATCAAGCTGCGGGAACCTTCAAAGGATGCGAATCCAAATGTCAGCCGGACAGCTGCTTGTCTTGGGTGGTGTGTGCTGCATCAACGATGTCGATAGCCATCACTGCTGCTATATCGTACAGCTTTGGGTTATTGCTCCCCCCTTTGACGGAGAGCTTTGAGGAAACGCGACAAGCCATAGGTAAAATGACTTACAAAACCTCGCTCTTTTTTTATTCAAAGACGTAGAATTCGTTGTTGAATTAAAGCTCGTCTTCCTTGCAGCCTTGAGAGCAGTTCTGGACGAAGTTTTCTTTCTATCTAAGGAGCATTGTTATTTTCTTAGATCTGGTGTGTTCTATTCAGTACGTACCGAGTAATTTACATTCCGAGTTTCACACCGTCTCACCATAAACCGTGAGGGTGATTTGGCGTAATTCATCAGTTATTCCATTACTGGGCGTTGGATATGAGATGGTAAATGGCCAACGAGGTGCGTAGCGCCGAACTGAGTACAACTAATCTCGTATCAACAAGCGCGAATGGAATGATTGTTTTTTTATTATCAAATTTTTATTAAATCCTGAACGCTTGGATATTTGGGGCTCTTTTTCAGCATCGCAACAGTTGGCGTAATGCATTTCCATAGAGGGTGACTTGGAATATGAGCTGATAACTGGAATCGAGTGAACCAATCAGAAAACTAGAACTTTAATATTCGGAGTCGAAAATTATTTCGGTTTGGGAAGAAGAAAAAACTTACCCTATCGAACTATTTGTCTCACCTCTATATATATACAAGCCTGTGCTCCGTAGCCCTCTAATAAATTTTGCCCCCATGCTGGCATGTCTGCCTTTCGACATTATCGCCGAAACAAGCGTCAAATTCCTTGCGAACGGATTTCTTAAAATTGAACTGAAGGTTCACTCTTATGGCTATGCTGGCTTCTTTATTTCATTATTTGTGTCAGTTTTTCGTTACTCTGGTGGTCTTTGTCTTTATTTAGTCCCCCAGAACAATAATGATTTGGTTTATGAGCGAGTCACCTCGCCGAAACATCTCCCTATTGGATCGTATAGTCTAGTCATAATATATGTGAATCACCTTCAACGCCAAAGACAATTAAAAAATGAAACACATCATGTGAAGTTCCAAAAGATACTTGATAATAACTCTTAAAATGTATTAAAAGCACTATATGGCGAGTTGGCAAATTTTTAATTCGAAGTTTTAGAATGCTATCCACAATTTCATTTTCTCTCCAGCTTGGATCGGTTCTTTGTACATGGCGAGCGGTTGCATCTTCAGCCCCGCAGGTTGCTTCATCAGCGATCGTTTTGGTCACAGGTTCACCGCCGTCATGGGTTCGTTTCTCGGGGTAGTCGGGTTCTTTCTTGCCTCGTTTTCCTCAAAACTTTGGATGATGTACCTAACGTTTGGTGTTTTATCAGGCATTGGGCATGTGATGGTTTACAACTCCTGTTACTTGATGGTTCTTCTCTATTTTGTCAAATGGCGCTCGGTGGCTGTCGGTATTGTTTCGTCGGCACCGGCCATTGGAATGTTCGTGACCACCCTGGTCACGCAGTTTGTATTAGACAAGTGGGGATGGCAATGGACAATAAAAGTGTTCGGTTTGCTAAATTTGATTTGTGGCTTGTGTTCAACTGTCTTTGTACCCCTCGATAATGGCCTCGACGAAATCTCTGACAGCGAATTTACGACTCGCAAGTCGAGAAAGAAAGAAGCAGCAAGTCAACGAAGCTCGCTTCTTGGGAACTATCCATTTGTAATCATATCAACGTCACTATCTGTGGTTCATTTCAGCTATTTCGTACCAATCATGCACATAGTAAGTACACGTCTCCTTTTTAAGTTGAAAAATTTTTTTATGTCACTCTTCGGCTGACTGTTGTAAAAACCTAAACCAAACTAATCCCAGTTACAAATTAGTACTCAGTGCGAGGTAACAGGAAGGAAATTACCTGAGCGCGGGAAAACGCAGGCAAGGTGACAAGTGACCGACTGCTACGAGTTTTGTATCTGATTGGTTGAGAGGTTGGCGGGAGTTTTCTGAACCAACAATATATTGTAGCATAGCATAAACAATGTGCTTATTATCAAATATCAGTTGAAAATTGCTATAGTAGTCGAAAAATCATGAATTGAAAGCTTGTCACATTGGTCCTTTCGCTCGTATGAGAGACCGAGAAGGTTATTCTAGTTGCAACATCTCGACATCTTAAAGCAAAGAGGAAAGAGGAAAAAAATTAAGGCAGTCAAATATGGGAATATTCGTTCGTTAAACACCAAATGTCTAGAGATCAAATGGTCAGTTTTTAACCCACGGGGCGGCGCAACCTGAAACTTGAACTGAGGTTCCTTTGCCATTTTTATTCCGTAATCGATTTTTATATCAAAAAGCATAATAAGACATTTGTTAAAAAAAAAAAAGTCTTCAGTCCAACTTATTATTCCCGCACGAAGCGCGGTCTTGATAATGCGATTAGTGATAATATCTCGTGAATCTGTGTTCCCAACGTCTTTTGCATCTTTTCCTTCCCCTTTGTTATAACTTCAGGTAAAGCATTGCAAACAAGAGCTTCGTATACCTGGAAACAAAGCCTCCATGCTGTATACCTACATGGGAATAACGTCCTTCATAAGCCGCCATCTATTTTGCAAGTTGGGAGACTTAAAGTATCTGAACAGATTCCATCTGTATCAAGGGGGTATGACTATAAGTGGGCTGTGTGTACTTTGCTTACCATTGGCAAGATCGTTTGGATCGATTGCAGCGATTTTTACAGTTTTTGGACTGATGGATGGAGCAATGAATGGCCAATATGCCTTGCTGCTTTTGGAATGCACAGGACGACGCCAAGTCAACCGAGCTTGGGGATATATGATGCTCTTTTCCGGTTTAAGCGTTGGCCTCGGTTCTCCCTTAGCTGGTGAGCTCCATTGTTCTGGCTTTAATATTTGTTTGCCTGACTGATAGAAAGTCAAACTTACTTCAGGAGTCCTAGCTTGTTTTACCTTCGAGATAGAGGCATTCCGAACTGAAAATTCCGAAATGAATCTGATAAGTCTTTTGACCAAGATGAAACACCATGTCAGAATAGCCATGAAAAATTTTTCGCAAGAATTTGACAATGATTATTGCTGCAATGTTTTTAAATTTCATCACGGTTGAGAACAAATTCATGCATGCATAAACCAAGCTTGCGCATGTAGTGCATTCTCAGAACTTTTAAATTTGTTTTATCTCAATGTATCTGCTCATTTCCAACAGGTCTGATGGCAGACGAGCTCGGCTCGTACATCACCCCATTTTACACGGCAGGGGCAATACAAATCGCAGGGGCGTCGGTCACTTCATTGATGACTTGCGTTAAACGAGGATTACCAGAAGAGGCCGAAACACAAGCATCCATTGACGAAGAACTTTTGGTTACAGAAAAGCTTACAGTTGTTTAGAAATGGTCTAGGTATAGATTCGAGCAATGAATCCATCATGAGACCATGGAAAGAACAAGCTAGAACATTTTCAAATCATTTTTGTTGCCAAGAGCAAACTTAGCACATGCGTTTGAAGATTGCGCTAACTTCTCGACGAAATATACTATTAGAAATCAACTGATAGTAACTGCAAGTGAAACAAAAAGAAAGTAAATGCCAGCCTGTTCCAGGCGTTCAGTCAGGTGCGTCGATCGACCCATTGGGGGCACGTTTCTCAAAGGACCTGGTAACTTAACGGGCCCGCAAAACTGTTCTGTTTTCATTCAAGATGGGGTTTAGAATGTTTTGAAAATTATGCAATAAAACTATCAGCTGAACAAACAAAATGGACTGGTTAGGATACCATAACCATCTGCCTTTCTATTTTTGAATTTTGATTTTAAAATTTAGCTTTGGGCCCGACCGATAAGTTAACGGAACTTTCGAGAAACGGGACCCACTGGTGGGGGCCCGTTTCTCGAAAGTCCCGGTTACTTAACGGGCCCGTAAAGCTTAGCTTAAAGAGAGTACAAAGCTTAGAGCTGAGCTAAAGCTGTCACGCCATCTGCCAAATTGTATCATGTTCGACTTTTTCATACACCTTGAGTAGTTTGATTTCCGATTGCCATGTTAAAAAACAAATGCGTGTTTTGTTACCACAATTCAAGAAGTGGGGAGAAGTACTCGATACGTCTCATGTTTCTTCCTACACTTCTTTCGTGCTCTAGCTTCTTCTTGCGTGCTTAGAGCATATTCAAGGCTTCGCTATTTGTTAAACAAAATCTTTGCTTTCATTTTTGAATTAGCTCAACCAAAAAATACAGCAACGTGGCTGAAATATGATGATCCATCGACCTTTATAGAGGAGCCATTTACAAACGGAAATCCATTAGCGAAGTTAATGCATTTTCCCTGAAAACATGCCATAAATAAACGTAAAAAAGAACAAGCAGATAAAAGATAAGACAATCACACAATAAATATTGGCACAATCTTAGAAATAAATTCTGTAAATGGAAACTAGTCAAAATCTAACAATAAAACGAAGCCCTTAACAAAGCTTAAAAAATGGGACAGATTTCGCTGATGGGGGCCACTTGACAAATTTTATATTTTGTATTTTGTCTTACCTATGACAAAACACAATTCAAAAGAAATTTGCTCTGATAGAAAAGAATTAATTCATAGACACGCTATGGTTGTGGACATGTTCCACCAAAAAGTGTGTCGTCTCGTAACGCATTGCGCTTCTTAATTTTTTCTTTGTTTTTTCACGGATTTGCATTTTAAATTATGGCTTTTCTTCGCTACATTGTATTGAAAACGACTATCGCTGCAGATGGCCTAAAGTACTTCCGACCAGCATCTGACCTTGCACTGTGACAAAAACGAAAGCGAACACCACAACAATAGGCAAGGAAAAAAGCAAATTATTAAATACTAGCTACGAAAATCCACTGTTTGCTGAGAACTTCATTTTCTTTTTCTCGTTTTAATTTCTGTTGGTTTCAGTCTATCAGTTTACAATTCCGTGCGTCACCAATGCGATTTCTGCCTGTGTTGACATTATAGGTTGTCAAGGAGAGTTGTCTCTACTTTGCAATATGAACTCGAACGGAAGATATAACCAGACCCAGGACACTGAAGAAGCGTCTGGAAAACACATTGATGACAGTGTTGTTGTTCGCTTTAAAGGCTAGATCATCCTGTGAACTTCAACGATCATCAATCTCTGAAACGAGATTAATTTTCATTTCCAAGTCGATATAAATTATTAATAGTTCATTCTGAGGGTGGAAAGCGATAGAAACTGAGGTATGTCATATAACTTGTTTTTTACACCAGAGATTCGTATTACGTAAGCGATCATCAAGACCTTTGAATTTTCCTCTCCTTGTCGATGACCTTGGAAACAACATTTCAATTTCTCCTTTTGTAGCGATAATGTTCGAATGACATAGTTTCCTTTCAAGGGAGTTCTGATCGTAGTACTTAACTCACAAGAAATATTCAACTCCTGGTTTCATTCAGAAAGAAAAAGTACTAAAATTGGAATTCCGAAATGGCCTATTGCGATGTAGAAACTTCATGCACGTGCTGTGACACGTGCATGGATACTCTGTGATAAGGGACAATCTGACGAACACTATTAGGAAGAGAATTTTGAGGAACATCTATAATTTGCTTACCTTTCCTTTTTTTTTTTCGCTGTTGTTTGTTTGGTTGTTGCAATTTTTTTAAATTTTATTTTTGATACGTGGAGCTATGTTTGGCAAATATTGGCAGACGCAACCTCCTTTCGACACAGGCGCGTGACCAGCACGCGATAGCACAACAGCAATCAAAGCTCTTTGTTTCTTAAAGCTCTCGCGCGCACGTACAAAAATTTTTTCGCTGCCTTTTTCACAGGCAGCCCAAGCTCACTTCTCGAGAAATTAGTTCATGAAAGCGTCACGCGTTGTGTGACTCAGTGTTAATTTGAAAACGTTGTAAGGAATAGTTTTGGGAGCGAAATACGGTCGATTTACAACTATAAATAATTCGTAATAAAACTTACTCACATCCTATGTGTCCGCCGTGGTATCTGGCGATTTCTGCCGTTTTAAGCTTGTTTTGCCATCACTGTTACTCCTGTTGTAAGACTTCGCGACGCTTTCATGAGTTAATCGTTTGCTTTTTCTCGAGAAGGGAGCTTGAGCCGCTTTTGCTTTTTTCGAACTTGCGCAATGGACTTCGCCGAAAAGAAGGGACTGCTCGTAGTCTACGTTTATCGAGTTTTAGATGCACTTAGGAGGTTTGGAAAGCACACAAGAAGCTAGAGTTGCTGTCGGTAGTTGGGACTTAGTCAAAGGTGACCACGACCGCTAAATGCAGGTTTGACTATAGTTGGATGAACCTATGTGGCAAAAACGAACTCAAGGAGCTATAAGAACATCTCCAGGCTGAGCGCATGTAACTTGCAAGTGCCAAATTCAGTGGCTTTCACTGGAAAAAGTTACTCTTTATTCAACGTACATGCATGTGCAACAGCTTAAATAGTTCTTTGAGTGAAATTAAGTAATTACAACACCAAGACACCCCGATTCCTGTCTAAGGACTTGAATTGAAATTTTCCTTTCATGCAATGAGATGTTTTTTCTATTTACTTTAAACAGTGAGATTGAATCGATCGAAGACCAACCAATAGCTGAAAGCAACTTTAAATTTTCAGATTTCTTAGATTACCGAGAAGCCTAAAGATATAAGCCTGGACAAAAATTGTTTTTTAACCGAAAATTTTCTCGTCTTGACTCGACAAGTGGTAAAAACGACCTAGAATACCAGAGAAGAAAATCTTCAACTGAAATCACCAAAATAAGCTTAATTGCATAGACAAGTTAAGCCCTTTCTTCTTACCAGTGAACGAGAATGTTTCTGTGTTTATATCAAGTATATCAACTAAACGAATGATTTCTTTGTAGCACATTGAAAACACAATCATGGTGAACTCACCTGCTCAAGATTCCAGCCAAGAAAGTCAGATGGTAGTAGAAAAAAAACCTACATGCCGTCCGGACAGTTGTTGGTCGTGGGTAGTGTGCGTGGCCTCAGTCATTTTAGTCATAATTGTATCGGGGATCGGCTATAGCTTTGGCTTGCTCCTTCCTCCTCTAATGGAAAGCTTTGGAGCATCCAGGCAATCTACAGGTAATGGAAACATAAAAAATATTGAACAATTTTAATTTCAATACTAGGTGACTCGGCATATGAGCTGATAACCGAAGATGCATGACCCCTAGAAATGCATTATAAGGGGTGAATATATATATTCATGAACCCTACCTCTGCGGCAGTTTTACATATTTCAAAGTCACAATGTGATCATAAAAGCACCTACATAAAATTCATTTTCAGCCTGGATCGGATCGTTAAACCTCGCTTTTGGTTATGTCTTAAGTCCTCTGGGTTCTCTGATCAGCGATCGCTTTAGCCACAGGGTCACTGCCATGGTGGGAGCCCTCACAGGGGTCATTGGATTTTCTCTGGCGTCTTTGTCTCCTAAACTGTGGATGATGTACCCGACGTATGGACTCATGTCAGGCTTTGGCCATAGGATGATTTACAACTCTTGTATGGTAGCCATCGTGGACTACTTCGTTAGACGGCTCTCTTTGGCCGTTGGTATAATGACGTCCGCGACAGCCATAGGCATGCTTGTTATGACTCAAGTCACCCAAGTCTTGCTGGATACAATTGGATGGCAAGGCACGCTACAAGGGTTTGCAGGTTTCTATTTGCTATGCGGTTTGTGTTCGCTTGTTTTTGTACCAGTGGACCGCTCAGAGAATAACAAGGGTGGCATGGCTGCGGATGAAAAAGCAGAGGAGAAAGAAAATTCATCTCTCTTTGGAAATCGTCCTTTTCTCGTCCTGTTGTCTTCATTCATGGTTGTTAATATAAGCTTCTTTGTTCCAGCCGTACACATCGTAAGTATTATTATACACCACTAATTGTTTTTAATACTCGAGCTGTAATAAATGGACAGAAGAAAATTTTGGCCACTTTTCAACCATTCCCACTTTTAAAAGTGGAAAAGCGACGCGCCCAACTTATTCTGTGGTTGTAACTCTCCTGCTGCCAAACACTTATTGCGTTTCTAGCCAGTCCTTGAAATTTGGCCGTTTATCATCAAAACAAACAACTTTTTGATGAAACTACCTTTGATTCTCAAAGCTAGTGGACATGACAATTTCTAGGAATAAGAGAAAAAGAGAAAGAAATATCAGTTGGTCACCAGACTGGTGATTGTGTAATCATCTGAGTGAAAAAAATCTTTAAAAGAACCAGTTTCAATTAAAGAGGTTGAAGTTCGGGTGTGTACAAGTGAAGTCCTATCAAAGTTAAGCGTGGAGCTGTTTACTAGTAGTCCCATGCGCAATCCAAGTCGTGCCATCATATCATTACCTTGTCGTAGTTAGTTGCGCAAATAAGGTCGAAAATGCGTGGAAAAGTGAATGACAATTATTTAATTAAATTAAATTTCTATTGCACAAATATCAATATAAAATTTTCATGAAACGCAAGCCACCAAAAAGTGCACGTTGGAAAAGTGGGAAAGCGACGCGCCCGATTTATTGTGTGGCTGTAACTCTCCTGCTGCTAAACACTTATTGCGTTTAAAATAAAACCGACCCATCGGACTTGGAATGAGTGAACCACTGCATATTTCTCCGTAGATTAAGCACTGCGAACAAGAACTGAACATTTCTGGAGACAGAGCTTCTATGTTATTCATATATTTGGCGACAACGTCCTTCTTCAGTCGTCATTTGTTTTGCAAACTTGGAGAGTTTCGTCACTTCAACAGGTTCCTTATGTACCAGGGAGGTATGACAATCAGTGGATTGTGCGTCATATGTCTTCCATTAGCAACGTCATATGGATCTTTGGTAGCGATTTTTATAGTCCTCGGCCTCATGGAAGGATCTTCAATGGGTCAATTCTCTCTCCTACTTTTAAAATGCGTCAAACAACGCCAATTCAATCAAGCTTGGGGCTACTTGAACTTCTTCATGGGCATTACTATATCCATTGGACCACCATTGGCTGGTGAGCTTCTCTGATTCTAAGAAATTTGTTTTGCTTATCGTGGGTATGACGATAAATCTCAAGTGAATTAATGTTTGAACGTTGATTGGTTGATGTATAATTTTTCTTTTCCTCTCTTTTCCTTTAAGAGAATCGTTGTTTTCGCTTTGCGTTCTAATAGACTCGTTCTGACAATTTTTCCCCTCTAATTACCTGTTTCATATAGTTCAATTTTTCTTTTACACGGCGGTAAATATCTGAAAATCATATATGTGAATGCGGTTTAAGAAATGAATTTGGAAGCGATCTTCCCAGTAATAAACACTACTTAAGCAGTACTGAAAATGAGGCCTAAAAAAATCTAGGGCTGTAGAGGATTTAAACCCATGACCTCTGCGATATCGGTGCAGTGCCCTATTAACTGAGCTAACAAGCCAACTGGGAGCTGGTCATTACTTTAGTTCGTAATAAACCCGTGAATTGATGAATAAATGCCTTAAAATCATTTATTTTCACTACTACATATCCTTTCTAAATTCACATTCATTCAGTAGAATGTGCTCTATCGTTTGTAAACTGCCAAAATATCGGGAGCACAAGGCTTAATTTTGCATTACTTTTTGTGTTTAGGTCTAATGGCAGACAAGCTTGGCTCCTACACTATCCCATTTTACACTTCGGGTGCGGTGCTGATAACAGGCGCGTCAATCATCTCACTGATGCCGTTTGTAAAGCAACATGCTGACTTTGAAGAAGAAAAAGAGGTGCAATTTTACAAGGAAGAACTTTTAGTAACTGAAAGAATAACCACACTTTAGGTTAAATGGCGGAGAAAACAGGCAAAGGAAAGAATAAACCTTTGATGAGGATTATCATGATGATGGTATTGAAAGAAACTTTTCCTTGTGAAACATGATTACATTGCCACCCTTTGTTGGCAAAGACAAACAATAGAGAGAATGTACCTGAAATAATGGTAAAAGTAAAGAAAAATTGCCGTAATTTCTTATCGTTTTAAGAAAAAGAATAGAAACTTTTCGTTTTAGGGTTAACTTTTAAACGACGGGTCATAATCCACGACGACGTATGTGTAAAAAATATGCAAACCACATGTATTCAAGTGTTCACGCTGTTTTCATGGATTTGTATTTAACAGCTTTAATTCGCTTCATTAGATGCAGTTTGTAGAACATTGTTCATTTCGCTGGAGCAGGCATCGGGTTGCAAAGTAAACTTGATATTAAATTCGTTCCCACCTTAAGATTGAAGAGGATATTTAGAGGGAATCGTAAATGGGTTAAGTTTTGATCACTGGGTTATACTACGGAACACGTCCAGAGCAAAAATAAGCCGTAATCTCCATAAATTAAAAGTCTTCCCAATTGACTTGCCATATTGGCAATCGGCCCGTCATTTTTGATAAGATGCATGCTCCTCAAACTCCTAAAGCCCTGCCAACGTCACGAAATTTGAACACATATTGAACCCCTCTCATTACTCCTTCTTACGCTTCGCATATCTTAAAGTAAAATGAGCTCAATTATCTATCCCCTTCCCCCTCAACGCTATTTTGTTTACAAACGCTGGATCATTTAAAAGTTTATTGTTAGGTTCAACACAAATCGGTAAACTGATGGTGAATCAAAATAACGCCCGGAAGCAATGCGACTACTCAAGTCATGAAAGGAGATGAGGAAAATGAGAACGGCAAATCCAAAAACTCCGAGAATGATGCCAAGAAAAATGGCTGAATCAAGGTTACTTACGCGCAATTCATCGAGGTTGACAAGGATACAGAAAAATATGCCGGTGATAACATGAATGACTGTCCAAGGGATCCCGTGTTCTGCATGATCTTCTCTGATGGGCATTTCGATGGATCAAAGCAGAACGAATTGATGGGGAGAGGAGAGAAAAACAAGGGGCATCATTTCTTAGGCGTTTCAAGAATCAAGACGGGAGCTGCAGCGACCCCAGTTCTCGTGGTCCTTGAGATATGATTCGATGAAGTCATGAAAAGTATACCGGGTATATGTTGGTTTGACAGAAATTTTTATTAGTGGTCCCTAAATTATTACTAACGCCTGGGCACAAGCAAATGAGCGTCTACTTGTCTTTGATGGTGATTTCGTTGATCAGAATTGATGGTTTTTACGAAAATACTTTTTCAAGGTAATTTATTTTACGCGATAATTTATAAGATTTACCTCCTAACGATAAAAAATGGCTGGTCCCTGATACAAAGTAACCAGTATTATTTTAGGGCACATAAAAAGTAGCCGATCTAATTTAATTTTAAGAAAAAAAAGTCACTTTCGCTAAACGACCTGACTGAATAACTCATAAGTGAAATCAGATATTTTCGTGGTCACTGTTGCTTCAGAAGTGTTCATCAGTTCTTACAATACAGTAACTTTTTCCATGATTAAAAGCTCTTCAACGGCTGACTTAACAATGCGACCGTCACTTTCTCCTGATTTTTGTTTTACACAGGTCATCAGCTGAGTGATTGAGGCCCCTGCTATCAGCACCGCACCCGCAGTGAAAAATGGAATAGTGTACGAGCCAAGCTCGTCAGCCATGAGACCTATCACAAATTGGAAAATATAAAAAAGTTATTACATATCAAAAATAATAAAAAAGTTATTACATAAGCATGTACGAGTGGGTGGGTGGTCAATGATACAGGTTTCATTGAAACCGTGATCTCGTATCCGTGAAAACTGATTGCAACCTTTGGCTCGAACTTACCGATTAACGGAGGTCCAATAGTGGCGCTGATCCCTGCAAAAAGCATAATATAACCCCACGCGCGGTTTACTTTTTGATGTCCCACGCATTCCAACACAAGCAGAGACTGTTGCCCCGCCATTGCTCCATCCATGAGTCTAAACCCAATTAATGGCATCACTATGGAAACAAACGACCTTGCTACTGGAATGCATAAGATACATAGTCCACTGATAGTCATTCCAACTTGATAAAGATAGAATCTATTAACGTACGGAAAGTCTCCCAATTTGCAGAAAATATGTCGACTGATAAAGGATGCCACAGCCATATATGTATATAACATGGAAACATGCTTTTCGGACATATGGAGTTCCTGCACACAGTATTTTGCCTGAAGAATAATTAAAATGATAAAAAGGCTGGTCAGAAGTGAAAACTATGTCTTCTCCATTAACGGCTCATGAGTAGGGATCGGAACAGCACAAAAGAAGTGTTGCCTGTTTCGAGATGAATCAGTTAGTAAGCACCTTTTCTGAAAGCTTACATTTCGGTCTGTGTCCCTAAATGATTTTTTGTTTGCACGTCTGTGCGCCTACCTGCCCGCTATCAGGTTATCATGAAGTAATGAGGTGCAAGTCAACTAAACAAAAATATCAAACTGATACTTACTATGTGTATAGAGGGAACAAAAAAACTCATGTTAACAACAGCGAAAGAAGTAAGCAAAATCAGAAAATTGCTGTTTCTGAATAGAGATGAAGTGGCTGATTCTTCGTGTTCGATTCCGAGTTTCTGAGACTTAAATTCGCTGTTGTCTTCTTCAAACTGTTCCCGAGGTATGAACACAGTTGCACACAATCCGCAAAAAAAAAACAAGATGGCGTATCCCCTCATTATCCCCGGCCATCCAAATGTACTAAGGAACACGTCAGTGATTTGGGAAACGACAAACATGCCAATGGCTGGCCCGGAAGCAACAATACCAACAACTACTGACCGCCATTTTACGAAGTGCTGCAGAATCACCAAATTACAAGTACTGAAAATCAACCCATGCCCAATCCCAGACATAAAACCAAATGTTAGATACATCATCCACAGATGGGAACTCCATGAAGCAAAGATGAAACCAATAATTCCTGAGAGGGATCCCAGAATGGCGGTAAACCTGTAGCTGAAACGATCATTGATATAAGATGATAACGGAGCAACAAGAAAGGCGAATCCTACATACAATGTACCAATCCACGCTGCAATGCAAAAGGCTGAAAGTTAGTGTATTGTTGGAAAAATTTCTAACACTCCTTGCACAGTTCATACTTTCTTTATTTCTTTTCTTAAAAACTCAAAACAACTTCCTAGCTCGGGGTATAACGCAACAACTACAGGAACATGTCGGTTTTCAGCTCATAAAGGCGACAATTGGCAAGCTATTAATATTTGACCAACGTCTTCACCAGCGAATCACATTGAATTACGTGAAACAGTTCCCGCATACTAAGTAATGTACCATCAGTTTGTTGACTCATTCGAAAACAAATTTCCACCTAAAATTTCATACTTTTGCGGTTAAGATCAGCCCAAAACAAAAACAAGATTGGTAATATGAAATTAGAAGATCCTCGCAGCTAAGAACACTACTGAAACTAGTAGTTGTAAGTAGGACCTGAAAAAAATTTCAGGCCCGTACGGGATTTGAACCCATGACCTCTGCGTTACCGGTGCAGCGCTCTACCAATTGAGCTAACAAGCCAACTGGGAGCTGGTAAATGAATTGGGTACAAATAAACATCCGAGTAAATGAAGATTTAGATATATGAAAATTCACATATTTGCACTGCGGTGGAAAGATGAAATTAGAAGATCCTCGCAGCTAAGAACACTACTGAAACTAGTAGTTGTACTACTTACAACTACTAGTTTCAGTAGTGTTCTTGGCTGCGAGGATCTTCTAATTTCATCTTTCCACCGCAGTGCAAATATGTGAATTTTCATATATCTAAATCTTCAAGATTGGTAATATAGAAATTATAAAGAAACCGTTGCTTAGATTAGAATTACACCTAAAAGATAACTAAATAGAAAGTAGCCCTTGAAGTCTGTTACATAACAACAAAATAAACAGAGAATTATTCGAGCCGTTCATATAAGTCAACTGATTATAAATTCAGTACGGAATGAAAAGTACAAGTTATTTACACCTTAAATCGCCTTACAGAAAGAGGTGTTGAACGTGCTAAATTAAAAAAATTAAGAATTACTTTCTTGATCGAGAGTTCGATATGAAATTAACATAAAAACAAACCTGTAAAGAATCGAAAGTATAAGAAATAAGAATTTCCAGGAATTCATGCGCGAGATTAATTTTTAGCAGATCAAACGACTCTCCTACTCATCAAGCGCCGATTGAAATATATCTTACCGCAAGATAATTGAAATGCTTCACGGCAAGTTTTAATCGTCGTAGAAACTGATGTCAAACTCGCAATGGGATAATATGCCATAAGCACTAACAAACTTTTGTGGAGTTAAATGGACCATTTTCTCGCAGAAAAAAATATAACAATCACTCTACTTACAAAGTAAGACCGCCATCTAAATAGGAAATCATCAACTTCTTACAATATTTTTTTTTAACTGAATGGCTTATGCTAATATGTTATTTCCATTCATATTTCCAACACCGTGGTAATGAAGCTCTTACAATGCTTCTAGGTAAGATCTGTTTTGATTTTGTCGTTTAACAGCATAGAAGATTAAAAAGTATGATCGGTCGGTCAATGTTGTCGTTGTTGTTATTTGGTCAGTGTTGGGTGATGGGTGCTGGACACATTTTCTATTCAAGACGGATAAAGCTGATGTTTTATACCTTTGCGACTTACCTGTTTCTTGTCGGGTAGCCTCAAACGCATCCATCAAAGACGGTAACAGTAAACCATAACTAAATGCAATCCCGGAAACAACAATAACTGACATCAGTGATGCTGCACAAACAAACCACGATCGACAGCAGTCCTGGTACCATCTTGAATTGTTTTCCAATGCTTTCCCTACGTCCGATCGGACTTCACTTTGTCTTGTTAAGCATTTCGACATCTTTGTAAAGTGTATGTAGTAGCTTTAGGAGACTATTAAATGAAATTCAGGAAAGAATCATTTCGCAAGTATTACACTTATCGTATTGTTTAACCAAAATCAGTAATCAATGAACACCGTCGAATCATCACGAGGCCGATAAGTTTGTTCAACCAACTGCCCATATGGGTTATTACGCCGGTAAACCCATAGTGAGAGCGGTCTCTTGCTTAAATAATAGACGGTAAAATAAGGACGGAGAGCAGAGCAAGAAAATGGTTGCTATGAAAGATCCAAACTCTGATTTTCTTCTTTCTTTGAGAATGAATTTTAAGCAACGAGCATTAAGAGCATCGGATCTTTTTGTTCGTTTTGAAGAACGTTTAATTTGTTTAATTTTTGCTGTATTGTTCTTTTGCACACACTTTGTAACAAGAGGAGTTTCACTTGTTAATTTTACTGGACTTACGCTATTGAAAAACATAAATTCAACATGGAACTTTTGCTAAGCTCAGCAAAGCGTAAATACTACCCGTTGTTGTTGCTATCTCTGTAATTATAGTTAAACTTTAACCGTTACCTGTCCTAGACTTTTCTTTAGTTGTTATCTACCTGTGCTGTTTTGAAAGTGATAAATCTTGTAAGAGGCGAAATTCCTTTCTAGCCAATTGTAGCTATAAAAATGTCTCAGATAATTCAAGCTTAACCTTGTATTCCTCTACTGAGATAATTAATACCATTACCTAATCCGTTGTAATTTAGGCTTAAATAGAACTGCGTTGTAAAGTATCTTGGGTAAGTACTTTGGTGTATCTGGACATACCAAGACCGAGGATTAAAACGTGATTGAATTTTACTGCGAGACTATTTTGTCTTAAGGGTAGTCAACAGCCGCAATAGATTCCAATCTTCGCGCTGCCAGTGAGTATTCCCCAGGAAGAGCCCTTTCAGTAAGATTTCATTTGAGTTTTCCACGTCCATCCTGTTATTTGCAAGGGCAAAAAACCTGTTTTCACAGCCTTACGCCATCGATACGATGCTCAGAATTGAAAAGTATTTCGAAGGCTAGAAGCCAAAATAAACACTAGAAATAAAAACTTTACTGATGGTTTCCATATATTACGAGCGGAAGTTTTGCTTATTAATCGTTATTTACCTCGCCCCCCTACGAAGATCGATAAATATTACGTAACTAGCAAAATATCCACGCGAATGATATGTTATATCATCGAGTTTAAGTTATCAATTTCTAGTTATATAACTATGGCTTAAAAAGAGATATCGATATCTTTTGGAACGAGATCGCTGACTGTACAATTGACGGTGTCTTTAAATACATACATATATATATATACATATAACTAACAGCATGTATATATATGTATATATATATTTTTGAGATAGGGAAAAAACAAAGAGAATATGCTTTCGTTCTTACAAGCCTGTTTCGTGATTACTCTCTCATCAGGGGATTTTATATTTACATATATATATTTACATATATATATATATATAAACAAAGCTACAGCCGAAAGAATTAAAAAAAAAAGTCCATTGACGATCTGTTGCCTTTTTTCTTCCATTCCCCTCAAGACGGATGCGACAACCCTGTTTCGCATGTATTGCCATTTGGGTAAAATACTGCAAGCCACGAGTAACCGGAAGTCGACCCAGAATATATAATCGTGGAACTGTCACACAACAAGCGAGCCCCACTAAACAATAGTCGAGAATTTCGAGGCTATTTACGATCTTATAGTACTTCTTAATAGATGTACAATAGTTTGGGGATTCATTCCTTGCATTCGTCAGAAAAACAAAAAAACAAAAAAAAAAAGTAGAATAAGATTGAAATCACTCTGCCGGTATTTTGCTCTTGTGGAAATTCTGATCGGCAGCTTGTCACAAAAACAAGATCTTAAAAAAAATGTTTTTAGTCCAGTTTATATTTAAATTATTCCCCGATCGAAATTTTCCTTGGAGTGAAAATGTTATATTGTCACTTACTTGACATAAGTTGAGTAACCAAGTTGAATCCAGATAGAATTGGACAGCGTGTTATAAATACCCGCACCGACTTAATGAGAAACAGGCCTGATGAGGAACGGTGATATTTTCGGTTTCAAAGTGACGCAACAAAAACCAAAAGGAGAATGGCTATAAAGGCAAAGTGGTCAAACCACGGTTAGGGACCAATCGTTATTCATCCCCTGGCGAGCGAGGGGGCGGAGAATTTTAGAATGGATCAAATCAACGGTCCCTCAATAACTTTTTACTGACACCCTAACATCAGTAGGCATATTCTCCATACTGTTCTCTATATATATTTCCTAAGGTGATGACAAGGAGAATGTGTATAGCAATCATGAGCTTCTATGATAGGTGATAATTTTTTTATTTTCCTGACTTTGACACGTGAATTAGAGATTACTTTCGATGCTAGTAACTCTTTGGGGTCAATGGGTTACATAACAGCCTAATTAAAGTGTTTTTCTCGTTAAGTGTGCTGTTTAAAACCTTTTTTCAATAAATCAGAGTTAAGCAGATTGTTACTCGCCTAAACTTTAACAATACAAATTGGAGAGTAGGTAAGATCAGGATAGCGTTTTCCTCATCGACGACTGAGTGTGAACCGGTGATATTTCTAGTAACCTTAAACGCAACCGCAAACAAAAAATCCGTAGAATCTCCAAATTCGCGGTCTTCAGCTACAGCAAAGTCAATACACAATTCATGTAACATTGCGCTTATCTGGATAAAAATGGAGATTCCTCTCGGGATTTAATACAATGATGACAACCCTTTAAGACTCCCTTTCAAAATACACAAACGGTCGCATTGTTCGTGTGGGTCCCTGTGTATTGGTATTTGTCATGGCGTCAATTAACCTCTTAGAACACGATGGAATCACAACAAAAACCGAAACAAGTTACGACTTTCTCTGCACGTGCATTCCCCAGCTAGGGGCGCACGTGAACCCCACACGTGCATTCTGCACGGACCATCTTGTTGTAATACAGCTGAGCGGTCACCCAGGAAATCACTTCGGGCTCTACAGAATAGGATCGTTATGAAAAATGCCATTTCGTTCCATAATTGACCTCTTGGCGTGCAAAATTCACTCAAAATGTTTACAAGTATAAGTTTTGGGAGATAAACATGAATCTAATTTTACTTGAAAGGTTGTTCTTAGGTGAATTTGAGTGGTTTTACTCGAAGTGACTGTTTAATACAGGGATAAACAGAAAGAGACCATTGGGACCACGATCACTTATCAGAGGTGAAAAATAACTAAAGGGAATAGAGGTGAAAAATAACGAAAGGGAATAAATTCGGATCTTCGACAACCGACCGCATAATACACGGTGCCCGCTAAATACGGTACCGCTTGATACATGTTCGACTGTGGTAAAATCATGTAGCTATGGGCGCACGTGCACTTCTCACGTGCACTTCTCACGTGCATCCCGCACGCATCATCTTCTTGAAACAAACTATTTTTGGTATGAATCCACGTGCACTCAGCACGTGCATTCCATTCATTTTCGTATATTTTGTAGTCACACCATTTTAACGATCACAGGAAGCCCTAGCTGACTATGTGAAGGGTCATTACTAGTAATTTTTGATATGCTGCATATATGTATTGCCGGAAGAACTCTCAAAAACTGAAGTGACAGTTCGGTATGAAAAATTCAAGTACAAGGTGTTCTAAACAAAGGTGAAGTTGCTCCAAGCCGATGTAGAATAAAACGAGCTTAGTAACCGCCATGTAACCGCTTCTGTTAAAGCTGAATGTTATCGCTTCGGATGGAAGCTGCCAAATATTCCTGCTTTGATCCACGCCTCCGTGATAAATGCTTTTAGATCGTGAGGACAAAGGAAGGCTACATACCCACAATTTATTGAGATTGACTAGAATACAGAGCAATTCGCTGTTGATATCATGAACGACTGAACAACAGTCCTGTGTTCTAAATGACCTGATTCACCATCAGCTCTAACCTTTTTTCTACGATATCCATTATCTTTCATTCTCAGGATATAAATTGCCATAAATTGCATTTTTAGGAGACAACGAGGACAGAACAGTTAAACAAAGCAACTAGTATCATTTCAAGGCTTAATTAAAGCAACCGATCAAAACGTCGGAAAACTAAAGACAAAAAAAATGTCATTTCTACAATACAGTTATTTTTTCTGCAACCGAAAGTTCTTCCACTTCTGACTGAACGATGTGGGCGTCAATTTCTTCGGATTGTTGATTTACACAAGTCATCAGTGATGTGATGGAGGCCCCTACTATCAGCACCACGCCCGCAGTATAAAATGGGATAGTGTAAGAGCCAAGCATGTCAGCCATAAGACCTATCAGAAAAACGTCATTCCATAAGTGCACTAGATAAAAATGAGTGGATTGTTTGTGGTGGGAGTTAAATAGAGACAATTTCCAATCCATGACCTGTAACTGCAACATTAAATTCAACTTACCGACCGAAGGAGGTCCAACACTAGCGCTAATTCCTGCAAAAAGCATCATATAACCCCACGCATGGTTCACATTGTGATGTCCCACACATTCCAATACAAGCAGAGACTGTTGCCCCGCCAGTGATCCATCCATGAGAGCAAATCCCATTAATGGTATCAGTATGGTCACAAACGACCTTGCTACAGGAATACTTATGATACATAGCCCACTGATGGTCATGCCCCCCTGATAAAGATAGAATCTATTGAAGTATGGCAAGTCTCCCAATTTGCAGAAAAGATGGCGACTGATAAAGGAAGCTACGGCCATGTAAGTGTATAACAAGGAAACACTTTCTCCGGACATCGCGAGTTCTTCTACGCAGTATTTTGCCTAGAGAACGAAAAAAATAAAGGGCCCATTAAAAGTTACTTCAGTCTTTATTCATGTTTCATATTTTGGATCGGATCGGAGCATCATGAAACTGGCATGGCGCTAATTTCATGATAAATCAGTTCATCTGCGAAACATCCCCGTATATTCCTGAAAGTTTGTATTTCGATCAGTCTGTCATCCCAAATGATTTTTTCATCTACGTGTCTATGCCTAACCGCCCACCGGTTTACTTACTTATTTGCTGACTTTCTCTGTCTGCCTGCCTGCCGGACTGTCTCTGTCTGCTTACCTGCCTGCCTGACTGTCTCTGTCAGCCCACACACCCGACTGTCTGCCTACATGTCCCACTGTCTCTGTCTTCCTGCCTGTCTATTTACCTTTCTTCCTGCCTGTCTGCCTGCCTACCGCCCGACTACCTGTCAACTTGCCTACCTACGTGTTTTCCAACTGTCTTTCTCTCTGCACGTGTGTTCGTCTGTCTGTCTTACTGTCTTCCAGCAAGTAGTACCTTACCCACCTTAGTACCTCTTCCCTCCCTACCCGTCATACCGTCTGCATGACCCGTTGTCTTTCCTTCAGGCAGAATGTCCAAATAACCGTTTGTCACTCTGTCTATCTGCCTGTCTGGTTCAAATTTCGCAGTAGAGAGTAATTTGACAACAACAAGTTTCTTTGCCCTCCTCTTGTCTTTTTACCACGACTTTTATCTGCGCAACGGATCACCCTTCTTGTTTAGCTGTCTGTCGTCCCTTCTCAGTCTTACTATCTGTTTCGTTTATGTTTATCCGACAAGCATTTCTGACTACACAAACTTCCACATCTCCGTAAGTTTCTTTATTTCTCTCTCTACGCAAGGCGACTGTCTCGGCTAGGATGAAGTATCATAACGTGATAAGACTGCAATTCAGTATAGCCAGTCTGTCTATCAACCAAAACACCAAATTGATATATACTTACTATGTGTATAGTAGGAACATAATAACTAAAGTGAATGATAACAAATGAAGAAAACATAATCAGAAAATGACGATTTCTGAGGGGAGATGATGTTTTTGACTCTTCACGTTTTATTCCATGAGAATTGATGTCGCTGTTGTCTTCCTTAAATGTGTTAAGTGTCACGAACATAGTGGCACACAATCCGCATACAAAGTACAAGATGGCGTATCCTATCATTGCCCCCGGCCATCCAAACGTGCTTAATAACAATCGAGTGATTTGGGAGAAGACAAACATGCCAATAGCTGGCCCTGAAGCCACAATACCAACAGCTACTGAACGCCATTTCATGAAATGCTGCAGGATCACCAAAACGGAAGTATTGAAAATCAATCCATGCCCAACACCAGACATTAAGCCAAATGTTAAAAACATCATCCACAGATCGGAACTCCATGAAGCAAAGATAAAACCAATAATTCCTA